GGGGGGGGGTCTACTCAGATGTCTCCGATCAATAAGCTAGCTGGAAAGTTTGTACCAGCCACACATGCTCAGGGCAGGTTCAGATCGTTGAAAACCCTCCTACACAGCTGTTTCTCTTTCAGTTCATGACTAGGTAACGTGTGTATGTATATATACAGGTCCTATGAACATAACAGGTCCTCATGGTCATCAATCGGAAAAGTTGCCCAGTGCTGGAAACCCAGAAAACACTATGTAGGTGGCTTAAAAAAATGACCCGGCCCTGGATAAGCGAACAAAGATGGATGGATGGATGGATGGGTGGATGGATGGGTGGTGTCTTAAAACTGGGTCTTTAGGTAACAGCCAAACTCTGCTACCAGGGTGAGGTTTTCACTGTCTTGTCATGTCAAAATTGAGCACAGCAACAAGACACAAGGTAGTTATACTGAATAAAAAGGGTCACTCTCAGACAAAGTGTTCAATGCAGATTGGAGTTTCAAGTTGTGCTGTTCAAGCTCTTTTGAACAAGTACAAAAACATCAGGCAACTTTGAGGACCTTACACAGACTCCTACATCTCTTCCCTCAAGCAAACTTTTTTAAAGCTACAATTTCAGTCATTTTCAACCATTTCATCTGAATTACAAGCATTTTTGCCTCTAATATTTGATGGACTTTTCACACAACATTTTAAACAGCACATTCATTAGTGAGCAGCCCTGCAGCCGTTCTCAACTCTCATAAAATAAAACATGTTAATGTCCATCTGAACATCTCTCATCAGGGAATTTGAGTAATAAATGCAGAATACATCAGTAACCGCTAATGTGCGCCAAGAATATCGCTGAACCCAAACAGAGTGTATGTACCTGGAGCTACAAACATAAAAAGAAGTGCTTAAGGTGATTAATGTTCAGTGTGTAAACAACAAAATGAGTCTGAAGCCATATATGCTCAATAGATTAAAAATGTGCTGACTCCAGGTAGTTGAAATGGAGAAGCAACCTAATCAAACAGCACAAACACACCGGCAAAAACGCTAAATACCTCTACCTACAACCTAAGCACTTAAACAAACCACCATTATCTTTAGTAATTGAACCATTAAGAATGACTCTAATCCCGGTCTGCCTTCCATTTACTTACAACCTACGTATGCAAAGCCACAGAGCATGCTAATGAAGCGGCTGAACTGCAGAGACTGTGGTTATTTGTGTTTCTGGGTTTCCTCATTACAAACACTCCTTAATTTACTGGCGGTCAGGCACTGGCGTGAATCCCCCAGTTTGATCATCCTCTGAGCAGATGGCGTGGCAAGCATCCATCCTGAGTTAGACTAAGAGATAATCCTCACAGCACATGGTGGGCTATAACAGCGAGACTTTGAGTGAGGGGAGTCCAAGTGTGGGGGTGGCGAGTCTCTAAAGTCCTGCAAGCTTCAGTAAATACCAAAGCATCAAGGCGTTGAGATCCTCTAGGGCTTCAGGTGCACACCAGGCTTCGGTTTCTGATCTTTTAACAGTTTATAGTCTGAGGCAGATGTGAAAAACATGCACAATGTCTTTTATTACTCAAGTTGCCCTTAAGTAATTAATTGTTCATTGCTTTATAGTAAATAAATGCACAACATTTATGGCTTTTTAAACCCATGTGAAGTCAGTAGAATTAAAGCAGCCGAATCAGATTACCTCCTCATCTTACATGTCTCTGTGTCTTATATTTGATTTAAGTTATGCTATTTATAAAAAAGTTATTTGCTATTTTAAAATCGTCTTTCAGTTTAATTTTACAGACCCCAGATCAGTCGTGAAAAGAAGGAATAACCTTTGGAAGTACAATACCTGTGGTATGGCTTGTGTTTTTCAAAGTTTTTTGAAGTTATTTTCTATGCTTTTTTTACTATTTTTTTTGTACAAATATTTTTATGTACAATTTCAATATTGAATTATTGTATCAAGAACTGACACAAAAACTGTTTTAAAGATCATTTATAAGAGCAAAAAAAAAACACTTATTTTATTGACAAGGATTTAATTTTGGTAAATTAAATGGACTGTTCCTAAGGTTCTGTCAGTAACTCCGTATAGTCAAAAAAGGTACCACAGAGACCAGAGCTTTTGACCGCTATTTAAAGTCTTTTCAGTTAGAAGGTTGCCAGGTCCTCAATATAGCATATCGTTTGTTAAAGTTAGCGCCAGTTTGTACATACTACACACTTATATAAATGTACATACAAAAAATACATATATTTTAAGAACTATGCGGGATAATATCTTTATCATTGACAAAAACAACATTGGTCCAATGTGAAGTGGGAGGTGCTAGAACTATGGGTGGTGCTATGAAAATCGAGCCATTTTAAGCTCACATAAAGGAATATAGGATAATACAAACATGCATGACAGACTCTGAATAACACTTTAGGTATGTTTTTGAAAACAGTGCAAAAGATGCTAGGAATGTCAGAAAAGTCAATTTTACATAACTCCTTTCATAAAATAAGAAGTAGTGGAAGTTTTATGATGGCTAGGTATGGAGTGATCCATTTAAGTGCACACAGCAGTGAACAAACACACCACCCGGGAAGCATTCTGTGAAACTGATACCTTGCCCAAGGGCACCAGATTTGTGGTTGTCAAAGATGGGAGAAAAATGAGGGGATTGAACCAACAACCTTTAAATTATCAGTCAATACCCTTATCCACTAGGCAACATTTCCCCCAGATTAGTGGCGTAGTGACTTGATAGGTTCAAACACATTGAAAAGAGATCATTGTGAATAAAGAAGGTGGATAAAATAATTATCAGGGGGTGCAGACACTGAAAATGTCCATCATCGCAGGTAAACAAATATGTGACTGTTTTGCTTGGGGAGTAGCGAATGCTTATTACAATAGCAGGTTGTTTACGTCGTCCATCCTCTGATGATGACCATTATTAAATGCGTTATTGTGCTGCAAAGACTTCAATGTCAAAACTGTTTCACTATACCTGCAGCGGGGGATTCAACAGATGGGTAGGGCTATCATTTCAATAAGGGTATTTCAAAGACAATCGGTTCTATCGCACATGAAACACCACATAGAATTTATCTAACAGGAGAAAAAAAATGACAATCATTTAAAGATTTCCCCTGTGCCTCTCCTTCTATCAGATGGCATCCGACAGCGATGGCTCATTTCTCTGGTGAGCTGAGATCCATATGTAGATTGATCATCTGACACAGAAGAGAGGGCATCATGCCTTGTATCTCACTGGCAGAAAAAGAGCCATGAAGACCTCCCACAGTACTGACTGCATCTCCTCTGATAATTTGACCGCTGTGCTGCTATCATTGGAATTCATGAGAAGTCTATTTTCTCTCGCAGTCTATCTTCTTTCGCTCTTCTTGCATTGAGAGCTCTTTAATTCGTTTTGGCCTCGTCACTTCAGACGCAGTCAGCCTGGATCCATTCAGTCCCATTAGATACACGACCAGACCACTTGACCGTGACTGCTTGACTGTCGTTTTGAGGAAGGTGAGGGACTTGCTAAGTCTCACAAACTCGATTTGCTGGAGCTTAATGAGTCTTGGTGTATTCTCTACACTTTTACATGAGAAAAGGGTTTTTAAGATTTCACCTGACCTTATTTCTGGCCATATATGCAGCTTATGGGATTAGATAAATATTCTGAGGTCTGTTCATTGTTATTTTGGATGGTGCTCACCTGAGAAGAAACTGCGATTCTTAGCAGAAAAAAAATTAAGCTGAAGAAAATTTGGTGCTTCTGAAACTGTAACGGTTGTCAAAAAGAATTATATTTACGAGTTCTGATATAGTCGTGTCCCATTCACTCACCATAAATGTAAATTGGTGGATTTTTTTAATTAAACTAAATTAAATTAAATTAATTTAAACTTATCTATGAAGAGTGTAAAGACACAGGTGTCCGTTCCTTCACACAGGGTTTGGTTACATTGAAGGGAAACGTAAATCTCATGGTTTACAAGGTAGGTGCAAATCTATAAAAGCTTGTTACTCTGTGTTCTCTCTTTATGCTCTTTTAATGGAAAATTACTAAGCAATAGTTTTCTCTCAGTGAGATTTTGTCTCATTGAATGTGACGACAATAATCTTCAGGAGGACCTTTATTGTGAGATATCCTGCACAGATAAGAATGAGACTCCTAGTGTTGACCCTCCCGTTGTCTCTCAACCACCAGCAGACACATGACAAATGAAAAATGGAAAATGATAATGCCACTCCCAAGTTGAACAATAGGGTAGACTTAGTGCTACTAATGTCATCAGGTTTTAGGGCCCACCAGATATGCTGTCAGCCATGTTCAAGACATAAAATCAGCATTTAAGCATATTTATTACACCATCCATTGAAAATTATTTACTTGATATTACTAAAATGTTTTCAAGTTTTCTAGTATTTCGATGAAATCGATTTAATCATAGCAAGTCTCTATTAAAATGGTTTAAATCTGTAGCCCATTTCATTAAAAAATGGCATAAATGCATTCTATCAATATTAAGTTCCAAACTTGCATATATCTCGCTTGCTAAAATAGAAGGGTACATTCACGTTGAATATTTTATTGAAATCATTCAATGACGTGTAGTTCAAAAACAATATTACTGTTCAATGTTAAATATTCGATGGCTGTTATCTTTGTTGACCACCATTACCAATGTTTCCAAGGCAACACATTTTCTTCAACTCCACAGACAAAACAAGCAAAGTCTCATTGAAATTATTATCATCACTAAAAAAGGACAAAATTCTGAAGTTGTGTTCGCCACAATAATTAAGTGATTGAAAAGTGCACGGAGGATAGGTGGAATGGATGTTTTTTTTTTTTTTTTTTTTTTTTACCAGTGCTAATGGTTATCAGGTTTCAAAAAAAAAATGGGCAAAACACAAAGCAGGAATATCAAGTTTGGCAAAACAACAAAAAAAATGGGCTTATATTGCGTTGGAATCAAACTCTTCAAATATTAAATCATTAATTAAACACAACACAAATCTATTTGAATGTGCCAAAATAAATTAATTGACTTTTAATTGCAAGACTGAGAGGAGCAGCAGGGCTGGGCACATTGGAGCCAATACACACTCATTAAGCCAAACCAGAACGAAAGAGCACAGAAGCACGAGTTGAATTAAAACACTGACTGAAAGCAACTAGGGACGTGGAGCATGTAGTGTATTCCGAATAAACAATGAGCCTTGGTTCTATTTCTATTTCTACACCTTAGCCATAACCCTCTGTTTCTCATGTTCACTTCTGTTGAATAGGAGACCTATATCTTTTCTGAAAGAAGATGATTGGCTAAGACAATGGGCAATGTCTTTTTTTATGATAAAAATGTTTGGCATTTGCAAGATACCAAACACTTGCGTGAAGGTCAATATGTTGAACATAGCACACTACAAATAATTTCTATTTTAAACATAAATAATTGCTGTCAGTCAAAAAAATCACTCCTTTTTCTATTCAGCTCAGGACTGTGGCAGACACCCAGGTGCGTGCAGCTGAGCGAATACAAAAACACACTTCAGCAAACATGATGCCTCCAGGTGAGTCACAAGAGGGCTCAAATACTGGCTACCCATGCATATCTTGTGTTTTCTCGTGTCTTTTCTTTTTATTTCAGCTCCAGCTCTTTCTTTCTGAATGATCAAAGCAGAGAATGCGGCAATACCGAAGAGTTGAGACTGATGTTCATTAAGTTTAAGCCTATTGCTATGGAACGATTGAATAGTTTGGTTCCATGACACGACTCACACATTCGAGGATCTGGGGTGAAAGGAGAGGAAGGAGAGGGATGGATGATTGGTTTGGCTTGAATGAGTAAAATATAATGGTTGATAAGTTGCACTGCATGACCTAGTAACTCCTCCCGAATACTGTTATCCAAACACTACTAAATGTCAAAAGAAAAAGGTTCAATCTTACCATCTGTTGAAAATAGTGTCATTGTTTGTTTTGTTCTTATTGTTGGACACCCTTAGAACACAACCATGGCGGTGCCCTGTGAGTAAACATTATCTTTAGTATTTTGTCTTTTTTAGCGATATAACAATAATCATTGTAACCACTTACCTCATCTTCCAATCACTGTCTCTGAAGCTCTCTATAAAAACTACAACTCCCTACAGTTCCTGGTCTGTCAGCAATGTGGTTCTCCAAGGTTACTTCCTGGACTCCATCGCTGACTTTTTCCATTAGCTGCTTCATGGGTTACTACCATTATATTCTTACCTGTGCTTTGTGTACCTCTTAGATCCAGAAGCCTTCTTATAGTGTGTTCCTGTTGATGTTCCTGTTGATCTCCATCGTGGACTTAGTCCCAGAGTTTAGCCCCCTGTTAGCTCTCTAGCCTGTGTGCTACCTCACTCATGCCTGGTGGTGCATGCAACAGCTTGGATACTTACCATCCATTTCCCATGACTGACACCCCACTTCTGGATCTAGTCTAGCTGTTCTCCGTTACCACAGCGGATACTCTGTACAGCTGGGAGTTACCATCACTACCCATAGCATTGGTTTTGCTGTACTTATTTACTACATTGGTTCTATAACTATAATTTGAACTCCATCTGTGTTATGCCTCATATGTAGAGTCACTCTGATATGTGACAATAGGCAATGTGTTCAAAATATGAGAAATTCACCAAAATTTCTGCTCACCAAAGTAAAAGATTTAGCCTAGTGGAACCAAGAGTTCCTGGTTATTTTGAAATGCTTATGCCATTCATTCACACATCAATGCAACATAGTTTTCATGTAACTGCACTTTTGGGAAATGCTGGTCGGTCATGGTACGTCGTTTTGAAAATGCACTGGACACTGTTTCCGTGTGGAGGCCAAAAATGGGTTTTCCAAAGACACCCATGTTTACAAACTTCCAGATGGTCGACCTCCTGAAATGCAGATTTGTTTTTCTTTTTTGTACTAAAAGACTCAACACCCTAAATATAGAAGTTTTGTATATTTTTCCCTTAAAATATAATCATTATAATGTTCAAAATTCACAGCTAGTCTCTTTCATAATTGAAAGTCCATTCAAATATTATTTATTTATGGATCTACAATTATTTTAAATAGATGCGAAACACCTTTTGTTTTTGGGTTGAGCGTTAAAGGAGACAGTCTATTATAGCATGCAGCTCACATGGAAAAGTGGCCATGAATCTATTTTCATGTTGCATTTAACAAATCTGGTGTTCTCTTATTAACGGTTGTGACATTGATTCACAGTCCCATTCACAATTTATCAGAAAATCTATATTTTGATGTCGAAAGGAGATGCTGCAACCGGGAAACCCATAGAAAAGCCATTGCCAGAAATGAGATGGATCATTTTATGCAGTTAGAAAATACACAGTTTATTTAAAAAAGTACATTTTAGTTGGGTGTGGGATTTAGCCATGATTGCAAGATAAGATATGTGCTTCTAAAGCTGGCTGCAGAGTGAAATCATGCACATTCATCGCATTGACTATGCAAAAAAAACAATCCCAGCCCCACGATCAATGCTGTGTTTAAGATGTTGAATCACCTTACATTCTGTGGTGCGCTTATATTGTGCACCTTCAGTTGTTCCTGATATTGTGGACACGTTCCTAGCTGCAGACTGTAATAAATGGCTAATAGATGGACAAATGAAGGGCTGAGGGGTACTTTCATTCAGTGTGATCATTGCGCCATCATTCTAGAGTGAA